TTCCCTTTATCTTTTGGGTCACTCTACTTAGAGGATTGGCTTTGGTACGACATAAGTTCTCTGATTTCTATCCCCGTGCTTGGCGGATTTGATGATGTTGTTGTAGTATCCCTCTTCACTGTCCTCATTACTAATTGTTCCTCCTCTTCTTGCTCTGATTCATCAACTAACTGCCTAATCGGCAGTTCCTTCGCTTTCTCAGTCCGCTTCCTTTTGTTTGGTGGCTTTGGAGTACATGTTGTCTTTCCAGTAGGCTTTTAGGCTATTGTTTGTTATTACCTCTCTCTTGTTGTTTGGACGTTTTACTTTTTGCTGCCATTTTGTGAACCTAAGTACCTGTGATACAAAAAGTCAACAATTAGTGTGCAGAAACAGTGACATTTTAGATATAGAGCACTATGCAAAAGCGTGCACTTCTACTCAATCGCATGTCATGCCATTCCGTGCTTCATGAAAGTACAGTCCATGGCTTTTACCCGTGATAAAGCAACTGATACTTCATTCAAATTCACAAGTGAGGAATGCACTTTATAGAAATTATGATGCACAACATGAGAGTGATTCTATTGATGCTCACAAACCATGTTCAATTACATATAGTAACGCACTCGACCCACACTTATTCACAAGACATAAGAATACGCATAGAGCGCACATAAGGCAACTGATGGACAATGTACTCCACATTACAAGCAGTTTAGTAACTTAGTTGTATATAATTCAATCAGGCCGTTAGTCACTTTAACGCCGCACGGTCATTACATGCCTCAAAATATGAGTTGAGGGAGTGGCGAGCACCCATAACTCCAACACTTTCAAACAATGTACATAATTCATCAAACAACCCCACACTTATTCACTAGCATATACTAGTGTCGCTCGGTTACTCAGACTTCGCTGGTGCCTAAATTTACCTCATAGACAATTCGTCGAACATGTAGTATGCAACAATTTTGCCTAGTTTTTTCTATCAATTGGAAAATTTGATTACCCTCCCAAAATTAACGAGATGAAGAGAATTCGAGTTTATCATCTCATAATAATCACAAACAATAAGAAGAACACCCACAAGTCCTAAACTTTCCTCAGTTCCCCTCTTTAATCACATGTGTTATATTCAAATTAATGAAACCTAACCTAGGGGAATTTGGGGTGGGGAATATGTTTCTACCAACGATAGAGAGAAGAGAACAGAGGAGAGTTAAGAGAGGAAAGAAAAGAGAAAGAAGAAAAGAAGAGCATACATGTGACTGTCGCAGTTGAAAGCAGTGATGGTGTGAAGAGGTGTGTTTGAATTTGAGGGGAAATGGTAGGAAAGGGAATAGGAGTTTTAGGACTCGTGAAGTGTATTAGCAATAAAACACTTACCTGGTGTTTGCTTTCTAGATGCGATGCATCCAAAGCGATCCCTGAACTTTATTTTGGACGCTGTTGTGGACGCGATAAGCAGAGTTCACTGCCTTGAGCAATTATCCCATTATTTTTTATACGCTGAGGGGGATGCGACGCATCCACCCTGTTTTCCCATACCTGGAGCATTTTTTTTAAATATATATAAGAACTAATTCCTACAAAAATAAAAAAATAAAAAAATCAAGGAACTCCTAGAAAAAGAAAAGAAAATCAGAATTACAAAGTAAACAGTAAAAATGAACAAACTACAAGAATAAAAGAAAATACTTGGGTTGCCTCCCAAAAAACGCCTGATTTAACGTCGCGGCACGACGCAACACGCTCTTCACGCAGCAGCCAGGTCCATCGAGGTCTTGTGACGTGCAATGTCACCACCCCAATAATGTTTTACTCTCTGCCCATTTACCAAGAATGTCGCATTGGAAATCGTATCACGCAATTCCATCGCTCCATGAGGTTTCACACTTACCACTTCAAAAGGACCCGACCATTGAGATTTAAGCTTTCCGGGAAAAAGCTTTAGCCTCGAATTGAACAAGAGAACTTCTTGACCCGGCTCAAACTCATGATGTTGGATATGCTTATCATACCACCTCTTGGTCGTTTTTTATACAATTTGGCGTTTTCATACGCGTGCAACCGGAACTCATCAAGCTCATTGAGTTGTAGCAATCTCTTCTCACCGGCTAAGTCCATCCCTATATTTAGCTTTTTAATCGCCCAATAGGCTTTGTGTTCAAGCTCGATGGGCAAGTGACACGCCTTCCCATAAACTAACCTGTACGGAGAAGTACCTATGAGAGTCTTGTATGCAGTGCGATATGCCCATAATGCGTCGTCCAATGTCCCTGCCCAGTCCTTTCTATTTCCACTTACCGTTTTCTCTAGAATCTGCTTTACCTCTCTATTTGAAACTTCCACTTGACCACTCGTCTGGGGGTGATAGGCAAAGGAAACCTTGTGTTTAACTCCATACTTTGCAAGAACATTATTCAGCAATTTATTACAGAAGTGAGTTCCTCTATCACTTATCAACACTCTTAGAGTCCCAAAGCGTGTGAAGATGTGCTTCTTTACAAAGCTTACCACTACCCTTGCGTCATTAGTAGGAAGAGCAATGGCCTCCATCCACTTAGACACATAGTTGACTGCCGCCAAGATGTACCTGTGACCATTAGAGTATGGGAATGGTCTCATGAAATTGATCCCCCAAACATCAAAAAGCTCTACCGCCAGTATATTCTGCAAAGGCATCTCATGCTTCTTCGTGATTGTTCTGATTGTTTGGCATATGTCACACATTTTAACAAAGGCATGTGCATCCTTAAACAATTTTGGACAATAAAAACCGGATTGTAGCACCTTTTGGGCGGTTCTATCCCTATCGTGATGGCCTCCATATGGAGAGTCATGACAGTCATGCAATATTGCGTGCATCTCCTCCTCAAGAACACACCTTTGTACCAATTGATCTGCACACTGCTTATATATGAATGGCTCATCCTACATGTAGAACCTCACATCATGTAGAAATCTTCTTCTATTATTAGGTGTCATATCTGGTGGTGTCACCCCACTTGCAATAAAGTTCACATAATCTGCATTCCACGGGGCTTCACTTGAGGTGATTGCTAATAACTGCTCATCAGGAAATATTTCTTTGATTGACTCTCCCTAAGCTACATGGCCCCGATTTTCTAATCTAGACAAGTGATCAGCCACTTGATTCTCAGTCCCTTTTCGATCTCGGATCTCTAAGTCAAACTCTTGTAGGAGGAGGACCCAGCAAATCAGCCTTGGCTTGGCATCTTTCTTTTTAAACAAGTATCTGATAGCTGAATGATCTGTGTAGATGATGACTTTGGTTCCCACTAGATAGGATCTAAACTTGTCAAATGCCCACACCACTGCAAGCAACTCTTTTTCAGTAACTGTGTAGTTCATCTAGGCTGGATTCAGAGTTTTGCTCGCATAGTAAATGGAGTGAAGGATCTTATTTCTCCTTTGCCCCAAAATAGCTCTGATTGCTATGTCACTTGCATCGCACATCAACTCAAATGGTTGCTCCTAATCCGGAGCAATGATAATTGGTGCAGTCACCAACCTTCCCTTCAGCTCCTCAAATGCTTTCAGACATGTATCTTCAAACTTGAAGGGGACATCTTTCTCAAGAAGCCTGCACAAAGGAGAAGATATTTCAAAAAATCTTTAATGAAACGACGATAAAAACCTGCAAGGCCTAAGAAACTGCGAATGTCTTTAACGGACGTCAGTGTGGGCAATTTTTCAATCGCTTCCACCTTTGCTTTGTCCACTTGCAAACCATTTTTGGACACCTTGTGCCCCATGACTATACTTTCATGTACCATGAAATGGCACTTTTCCCAGTTTAGCACCAGGTTCGTCTTTTCACACCTAGCAAGCACTTTATCAAGGTTCATTAAACAATTATCAAAAGAACATCCAAACACAGTAAAGTCCTCCATGAACACTTCCACAAATCTTTCAACCATGTTAGTAAAAATAGCCATCATACACCTTTGAAAAGTCGCGGGTGCATTACAGAGACCAAAGGGCATTCTCTTGAACGCATACGTACCATAGGGACACATAAATGTGGTTTTCTCTTGGTCCTCTAGGGCTATAGCTATCTGATTATACCCAAATAACCATCTAAGAAATAATTGTATTCCTGGCCAGCTAATCTATCAAGCATTTGGTCAATAAAAGGGAGGGGGAAGTGGTCCTTTCGGGTGGCGTTGTTCAATTTTCTATAATCTATGCAAATTCTCCACCCAGTGACAGTTCTTGTGGGAATCAACTCATTATTTTCATTAACCACTACAATCACCCCCCTTTCTTAGGTACACATTGAACGGGCTTACACATTTGCTATCTGAGATTGGAAATACAATACCTACATCAAGCCACTTAATCACTTCTTTTCTTACCACCTCTTTCATGATTGGATTTAGTCGGCGTCATTGCTCTACACTTGGATTGTGTCCATCCTCAATGAGGATTTTATGCATGCAAAAAGCTGGACTAATGCCCATAATGTCAGACATTGTCCACCCAATTGATCGTTTGTGCTTACGTAGCACTCTCAACAGCTTCTCTTCCTGCAATTTAGACAAGTCAGAAGAAACACTAACATGTAAAGTATCAGAATCACCCAAATAAGCATATTGAAGATAAAGAGGCAAGGGTTTAAGATCCAATTTTGGAGCTTCCTCAATTGACGACTTTGGAGGAGGCCCACTTGGCCTATTCAGGGGCTCAAAGGGGTGTATCCCCTACATGTAAGCACAAGATGAATCTAGGATATGCATCATCTCCTCAACCTCATCATCAATCTCCAAACTATCGAACAACATAAGTGCTTTCTCTAGAGGATCGTCTATATATACACTCTTGTCAAGAATTTGCTCATTAGCCTCCATAACAGATATCATCGAGAACTCCTCTTAGTGGCGGGGAAGTTGGATTGCTTTGTAGACATTAAAGACTACTTCCTCGTTATCCACCCTCAAAATCATTTTTTCCTCTCTCACTTTAATAATTGCATCACCAGTAGCCAAGAGAGGTCATCCCAATATGATTGGAGCCAGTTCATCAGCCTCATAATCTAGGATAATGAAGTCTGCAGGGAAGATAAATTTCCCATTTTGCAGCAATACATCTTCAATCACTCCCTCAGGGTGTGCTACGGACATATCAGCCAGCTGCAACATCACAGTAGCTGGTCTTGGAGCTCCTAGACCTAATTGCTTGAACAAGGATAAGGGCATCAGATTTATGCTTGCCCCCAAATCACAAAGTGCACGACCCACATCAATATTACCAATTTGCACAGGGATGGTGAAGCTGCCATGATCCTTAAGCTTTTGAGGGAGCTTGTTTTGGATCCTTGAAGTGCACTCCTCAGTAAGTGCAACTATCTCAAACTCAGTCAATCTTCTCTTGTGGGCCACTATATCTTTTATGTACTTAGCATACTTTGGAATTTTATGAAGTACATCCACCAGTGGAATATTCAATTGAACCTGGCTCAACATATAGAGAAATTTGCTCAACATGCGATCATCATTCTTTTTCTGCAATCTCTGGGGGAAAGGTGGTGGTGGCCTTGCAGCCTCCATTGGCTTTGAAGTTGTATCATTTTTCTTTGATTCGTGTGTTACCTTAGGAATCAACTCCCCGTCATGTATAGGCTTGTCTTTTCTCTTCTTTGGCACTTCCTCTAGATCCATACCATTTCTGAGTGTAACTGCATTAACTTGAGGGTTCTTCTCTGTATCGCTGGGGAGGGCCCCTGCAGGTCTAGTATTTTAATTTGCTGCTAACTGCCCCATTTGCCTCTCAAAATTTCTGAAATCAGTTATGAGCTGTTGATTATCAAGCAACAACTTCTTTATCAAGTTATTCATACTATTTTCCATTTGTTGGGGTGGCTTCTGAGGTTGATTGAAATTTCCTTGGGGTCTATAATGATTTTGATTCGGCTGATTTCTACCCCATGAGAAGTTGGGATGATTATTCCAATTTGGATTGTAAGTGTTCCCATATTGTGCATGCTGATTTATTGGACCTCTGCTCTGTTACCCCACATAGTATATGGATTCAGGATTCGTGGGGCACATGTCACTCATATGACTGTCACCACATAGTTCGCAGTAAATAGACATTTGTTGTACATGTTGCATATGTTGTGTTGGTTGCATTGTCATTCTATTCATCTGATTTGCCAATTTTGCTATATCGACTCTCATGGCTGAGAAGTCATCAAGCTCAATCAATCCGGCTGCTTTCTGTTTAATTGCCCTTCGTGAATCCCCATCTCCGTGCCAATTATGATTATTAGCAGTGAAGTTATTTAGCAAGAGTTGGATTTCACTGTACGGTTTCGCCATACAACTAACCCCACAAGCTGAATCAAGATTTATCTTTGATGTATCATCTAGCCCATCAACAAAAGTGTGACCCAACACCTCATCAGTCTGACAATGATGTGGACAGTCTCTGAGTACCTTCTTGTATCTTTCCCAAGCTTGAAGAAGTGTCTCGCCATCCCGTTGTTTGAACCCAAGAATCTGACTCCTCAATGACTTTGTTTTCTTAGTGGGAAAAAACTTGATTAAGAATTTCCTTTCTAGATCATCCCAAGTGTGGATTGAGTTCGCAGGAGAAGAGATTTTCCACATTTGAATATTCCACTGGTGGATGTACTTCGTGAAATTCCAAAGTATGCTAAGTACATAAAAGATATAGTGGCTCACAAGAGAAGATTGACCGAGTTTAAGACAGTTGCACTTACTGAGGAGTGCACTTGAAGGGTCCAAAACAAGCTCCCTCGAAAGCTTAAGGATCCTGGTAGCTTCACCATCCTTGTGCAAATTGGTAATATTGATGTGGGTCGTGCATGTTGATACCCAACTTTTCCCTATATATTTTTAATATGCATAAATACTTTCAAAATAGAATATATAAGCATGCACAAGGTTTTTATAATTTATCTATAATTTTAAAGATTTTAAATTGATTTACTTCCTCCCCTTTTACTCATAAAATCTCCGATAATTATCCCTCAAATTATTATTGTGGTAGTTTAGTCATATAAATTCTATTTTTATGCCAAAATATTGTTAGAATATTTTTAATGCATTTTTAAAGCTAATTTGCATATAATTGTAATATTAGCCTTATTAATGTATAATTACATTTATATGCATAAAATCAAACTTCTATATTTTTAAAATGTTTAATATCTATTTTAAATCATTTTAGTATATGAAGTTATTTTTTAGAAATTATCTATTATTTATTATAAATTATATGGGGATAAATTGGCTATTTAGAATCTAGTCAAATTGCATTTCAATTTTAGCCTTAATTGAACCCAACACCTCAACCCAATTTTGGATTAAATAACCTGACCCAGGCCCTAATTGCCCCTACCCGACCCAAAACCTATCAAATCCTGGCTGTTGATCTAAAAGATCAACAACCCTCATTCATTCTCGCCTTTTTTATTCCAAACGACCCCCCAACCCTAACCATTTTTCCAAATCCGCCGCCCTAAGATCCTCACTTCTCTCAGTAACTCTCAACCAAACCCTAGACCTTCAACCCCCGACCTCTCTTCTCCGGTCATCTCCGGTGACCTCTCACAGTCTCCTAAGCCTCCAATGGTTTCTCTCATGCCACACCTGCCTTCTCTAAGGTCTTCAAGAGCCCAGGGCTATGCCAACATGCATTTAGGGTTCATCACTTGTCTGTTCTTGGCTACTCCAGTGTAATTTCGAGCAAAATCATGCTTTATTTGTTACGATCCTTGGGATTCTAGACAGGTTCTTTCATCTCTCTATGAGTTTTTTCTGAAACCCTAATTTCTTCCTATATCTCTTAGATCTATACAGATCTAAGACGATTTGAGTTTGTTTCTTTAATGTTTTACACTGTCTTTGGAACTCTTTTGCAAGAATCGTTGATTTCAAGTGTTTTTAACCTTCTTCTAAAAAATTAGGGTTTTAGAACTTCTTTTAAAATTTTGTTTAACTGATTCTTTATGTTTAAACTTCTATTTCTTGCATATTTTTGACTGATTCTATGATTTTACTACCTCTTCAACTCGTCTATGTTGAAAGCCCTAATTTTCTAGATTTCTTCGTTTGGTTCTTTGTATTAGCATGACTGATCGTTTCTTGTTTGAGTTTCTGTAACTATCTTGCCTTGAATACGTTCCTACTGAGTTTTAGCCTAACTTATATCACTTCTATGTGCTTATGTCCATCTTGACTGTTCAAGACTTGCTTCTTCCTATCAGTGCTGTTTAACCTTCGTGTTTGCTATGTTTGGTTGTTCTTATCTTACTCTATTTATATACTGAATACTGAATCATGACTTTCTCTTTGATTGATTCTGGATTCCCTATTTTATAGTTTGATTGGAAGACCTTCCTTTAAACCTTCGATTCCGACTCTTTCTATTCAAATTGATTGATTTTCTTACCTTGTCTGTATTAGTATTTTATTCCTACTGATTATCTCCCTAATTAAAGTTTTCTGCACTTAGCCCTAATTATTTACCCTATACTTACTAAATTTGAAATCTTTCCTTATTGGTCATACATTGATTTCTTTCCTTATTTGTCACTTATTCTTACCGTTTGAGCTAATTCCCTTAACTTATGGGAATACTCGTACTGATTTTGCTCTAATTAGTTCTGAGTTCCATAATCACTATACTATTGTGATTCTTGCCTTATTTTACCTAGTTTCAAACTACTATATATACCTACTTTCTCATTGACACAAACACGAACATATTGGTTTAAAAACTCTCTCTTTTACACTAAAAGCTTTCTGCTCTCTTTTGTGTTACTTACTACTGTCTAAAGTCAGCCGGCTGCAAGCCAAGGCTAACTACTAGTTTCTCTTTCACTTTGTGCTTACTAACCCCTTACTGGTATATTCTAATTTTAATTCAAGTCCCAAAACAATATGCTTCTCCTATTACTTCAATTTGTCATGTTTCTAATATGCTTCTATCTATGGTTTTGTTGTTCAACCTGCAATTAACATGTATACTTCACTGTCTTCTTTGTTTCATGCTATATACCCCTCAGGATCCCCTTCTAGTATGACCCAATGTGACTATGTTTCCCTGATCCCTAGCATGCACCTTCTTGTATGAAGTAATTGGCTATCCTAAGCCTATTAATTATGTATTAACTCTACAGTTCATGCTATACTTTAAAGCCTTGACCCCTTTTAAGGATCCTCTAATTCTGTACCTTTGTGCATCTATGCTTACTATGTGCCCTATGCCTACCCTAAACCCCCATTACCCCTAAGTGGATGTGTGCACCTGTTTGACTCCATGTATTGAAGTACTGATGAACCTCTTTCTGGTTCTGTATTTGGTTTGGCTGATTGTTAGTCACCTTACCTTTTTAAACTGTCTTATTTAGTAACTCCCTATGTGTTTTCTTACAAAACTATTTCAAGCAAATCTCTTTTTAACACTGTTTTCCCACTAAAACCTTTCAAACTGTGTCAAGCACCCTCACTCTACTCCTAAGTCACTAGGTTCTACCCCCTCCAGTGTGTGTACTGCCTTGGGATCCTCTTGAGAACCCTCTGCACTCTGGCACACTGAGACTGGCCCTTCCACACTATACTTACTCAATTTGGTTACAAAGTTTAGGTGTGAGCACTGCCCGGTATCCTTGAGATCCTTAGGGAACTCTGACGCACCTAGATAATGATATTGTCTATGAAATTGGCATTTGAGGCTATTGGAGGTCTTGGGAAATCATTTGGTCCTGCTTCAGGTTCCCTATAGTGTAACTTTTTACTTTTTGTCTATTCATGTAATTCATTCATCTGGTTTGTAATAATTTGTAAACGAATATTGGGGTAACTAGTAAAAGCGAGTAGTTACATATTTGTGGGTTAAATGGGTAGAAACCATGCCTATAGGATGTTATATTTGCTATATTTACCTTAACATGTTAGAAATCATGCCTATAGGTTTCAAGTGGTTCCAATAATAGAAATCATGTTTATAGGTCCTAAAATCAACTTCACAAGTAGATACCATGCCTATAGGATATGATCCAGTTCAACTTCAGTTATAACGAGTGTTTACATGTATTATCATTTGTTATCATGCCTACAAGTTTCTAACATCAGATCTTAAACAATTAGAGGTCATGCCTATAGGAAACAACATCAAAAACTCTACCTAGATCAAAAATCAGTTTAGTTTAAATAAGTCAATCCAGTTCTTGAGTAGTTTGCTTCGAAGTTGGTCTAATTAACGGTTTGTTTTCCTGAAGTGAATTCTCTCAAAATACTACTTTAATTTACTATTAGAAAGCATGCCTATAGGGACTCAAGAGTCAGTTTTAAAATCTGCCCACTATTTTACTATATCAAGAGTAGTTATCATGCTCTTAGGACACCGTTATTCGGTGTGTAGGCAAGCCTATAGGACATTTTCAAATCCTGCAGCTCTGAAACTGTTTCTGCTACTTAATGTTGTTCTGATTTTAAAATCAGTAGGCAAACGGATAGGGCCATTACTTCTGAGTTTATAAAAATAAAAACTGCATATCTCATGTGTTCTGATATTCACCTAGACATCATGTCATAGGATACTGTTTAACAATATTGCCCTTATTTGTGCTAGAGTCGTGTTGTTTACATGCATTATCTGTGGAGCTGAACTTGAGCCTCTAATTGCTTCT